TCTGGCCTCCAAGAGCTCTTGCACACACGTGGTGGACATGCAAGAGAGAGAGAGAGAGAGAGAGAGAAAGAAAGAAAGAAAGAAAAGAAAGAAAGAAAGAAAGAAAGAAAGAAAGAAAGAAAGAAAAAAAACTTCAAACTGGAATTTGATGTTTTGCTTTCAGATGCTGTCTTTTTATTAGTGAGTGATGATGGTTTGCTAATAATCACTAGGTAATTTTTTGTAATCCCATCAGTGGCTCTCAATGTCTCTGCTCTCTTGTGTCTGTGATCATGTTTAACTGTTGTACCTTAAAGCCAAAATCAGTAGCTATGAATACTGTAACTAAAGTATTGGGCTTACAGAGTTGTTTGTTGTATAAAGAAAATCTTAAATGTTGTTGCAAACTAACAAGTTACACTACCTTAAAATTTCTTTCTTCCTCCCCCGCCTCTTTTTCCCACAAAAGGTATTATAATGCTTACTTAGTCAAAGGAGAGAGACTAAAAAAAGTAAAATTTTAACAATATAGAATTTGCCATCATTTCATTGCCTTGATTCTAATTGTTGGTGTCCTAAGATGCAAAAGAAGCCAGTGGCTTTTAACTTTTTACAAATAGAATGTGATTGCAAATGTACAGTTCGATTGTGTTGGAATTATGAAATTTTTCATTTAATAAACCATAACTTTTTTGGCTGCTCAACATTAATGGCTCTTTTTTGGGAATTTATTTGTAGGCTCATATATATACACATATATATATATATATATATATATATATTTAGTGGAGTTCATGTATACCTGTGTTTAGGGCTGTTCATCTGGGTATATATATATATATATATATAGAAAGTTACAAAGTTGCTGTGTTCTCATAGAGCAACAGATTAAAAATTTAAACAAATATTTGAAGATTTTATCTGAACCTATCCACAATTTCACCCTGAAATAATGTAGGACAACAGGAAACTGTAGCCTGCTCCTTCCTACCCTCTGAGTATCTTTGGGATCTTGTTGCTCAAAAGCTTTTCTGGGACTTCATCTTTCCCACCATTTGTGCCCATCTCAAGCCTCAGTAGGAGACCATGTGAAACCTGAAGTTTAATGACTTGAGAGCGCACTAGTGTTAATTTCAGAGACCTCTGTCACACAATGGGAAACACTAGACCTGAACCTGCCTTTCTTCTCTGTGCCCCTCACTCCCCCACACTTCATGAGCTCTGGGGCAGAACTTGTGTCTATATTTCAGTGTAGACCTCAAACTACGCTCCTACGTGTCAGGTGTACGTAGTGTTGCTGGACACTGTAATCTAAGCAAATAGTCACCACATTCTTTGTATGTTGATTTCCATACCGGTTTTTCCAAAAAACAAAGGTAGCTTTGAAAAACCATGTCTGGAGATGTTAAGCTGAGTGACCTTTGGGGGCTTTGAGTAGCATATAACTGCATTAATTGCTAAAAAGTGTTTGGGATTTTTTTGTAGTTGTAATATGCAGCTAGCTCTAGAGCTGGGGGAAGTGAGCCTTAGAGGCTCGGACTTTTGCAACTTTGCCACAAATTCAGGGGCACTGCCACTTTGCAGATGTGGCTTAGACAAGGGATTTCCATTCTCTTGGCTCCTTTCTCTTTTCTGTCAGATGGGAAAACCATGAACCTCACAAAGTTGGAAGGGAGGGGTTGAATGAGAAGGTCTACATAAACCTGTAGCACAGCATGAAAGGCATTCGATGAGTGGCATCTGTCAGCAGAAGCAATATTTCCCTTCCATAAGGAAGCCTGTGTCCCACCTTGAAGACACAGATCCCAAGGGCAGCAAAAGCCTAGGCAAGCCCAATTGTTCAAAGACTGTTCTGCAGAGGGCAGAACTGCAGGAGGAGGCCTGAGCCTACAGGTTAACTTCCAGAGACACCATCCTGTCTGACCCAGCAGGAGCATTCCTAGAGCAAGGCAGTTGTGCCTGGAATCTAGTTGGGTCCCTCTCACTTGATTCCATCAATCCAAAGGCAGTTCCCATGATCCATTATTCAGAAAAGGAAGACAGAGAAGTGCCCTTGTCATGGTTTGGTTATGAAGTGACTCTATAGAGGCTCATTGTTCAAGGTTTGGTCCTTAGCTGCTGAATTCAATCACTGACAGTGGATTAATCCATTCATGAGTTTACATGAATGACTACTAGGGGTTGGGGCTTAGTGGGAGGGAGATATTTGGAAAGCATCTTCCTGTCTTTGCTCTCTGCTTCCTGACTACCATGATGCAAGCTACTCTGCTCTAGCACATCCTGTCCCAAGATGGTCAACGTTGCCACAGACCCAGAACCAATGGACCCAACCATGGACTGAAACCAGAAACCCAAACAAATCCATCCTGTTTTTAGCTCATTTCTCTGGGTATTTGTCACAATGATGAAAAGCTAACATCGTCCCCTTTCTGCTCTTGAAGACAAAGACCTCTTCCTCCCCTTTTCAAGGCAACCAGAAACTAAGAGAAGTGAGATCAGGCCCTAGACTGTCTCTCCACATCCTCATGATGGGGTCCCTCTAAATCTCAGGAAGGCCCCAGGTGCTCTCATCAAAAGAGACACACCAGGGCTGGGGAGATGGCTCAGTGGGTAAAAGTGTTTGCTGTGTAAGCCTGAGGACCTAAGTTTGAATCTCCAGAATCCATGTAAAAATAAGAGATGTAACATATACAGGAGAAATCCTGGAAGCTCAGGGCCAGCTAGTCTGGTGCGCATAACGTAAAAACAACAAAAAGACCCTGTCTCAAACATGGTGGAAGGTGAGGACCCACACCCCACTTTGTCCTCTGACCTCCACACCTATACCATGACACTTCTGTGCCCACATAAACACACGTGAATGCACTTGTGTGCGTACACACACACAAACATTAATAAAATAAATAACTTAAATTTAAAATTTAAAAGGGACACACTTGGTTTAAAGAACAAAAGACAGGAATCATCCATTCTGGAAAGGGTCTGGCTTCAGGTTGAAAAGGATAGGCAAGTCAATACAGCAAGGAACCACCTAGTCCTCTGCAAGAAGGTTCCAGGGGAGGATGACTCCTGTCACAGAGACAGAACCAGATCCAAGTCCCAAGCTGACGAGTCACACCAAACAGCTCTGCTCACCCTCTCAGCCCATGGGCCAGCAGCTGCCATCACCTGCACAGGCAGATTCCAACCAGGCTGCCAATTGATGGCTATGGCATATTTGGGAAAAATTAATAAAAATCCAGCCAAATTCTCCTTGTTCCTCTCTAACTTGCCACCCAGCATGGTTGATCACATTCCAAAAGAGAAAACCTGGGGGACTGGGGAAAAGTTTGCAGCAGCCTCTATCAGCAGAACAATGCAAATACCCCAGCCTGGGGGTGGGGGAGTGGTATTCAATACCCAGCCAAATAGAGACCAGGACTGAGGAAAAGAGAAAAACACAGGAAGGGGGGAAGCCCCTGCCCCCACTGATGTTTGGGTCAAAGCTTAGCTCCAAAGAAGGTGTCCACACACAATTTATTAATTACTGAAAGCAGCACTGAGTTGATTAGACTTTAATTTGATCAAAAGCACTTTAAATTGTCTCTTCAACCTAGAAAGGAACACTTTCAACTACAGCCAAGAAGAACTGCAGCACTGAGACAAAAAGACTCAGGACAAAAAGTCAAAAATCAAGGGTCAAGTTATCCAGCAGAGTAAGCTCCGAAAAGTCAATTGTGCGTACACCATTCAGAGTGGACACACTAGAGAAGATCACAGTCTTAGAACCTCTGAGTCCACAGTACACCCTGGAAATACCAAACCTTCTCTGCAGGGAGGGGTTTCCCAAGCAGGCAAGGCATTTTGCCAGGACCCCCCCCCACACACACACAACAGCACACATCAGAGGCGGCAAAACCACCCAAGTACAAACGCCCCGGGCACTGACAGCTCCTCTGCCCTCCTTAATCCTCTCTGCAGTGCACTCAAATCCTGACAAATGCCTTAATCACTCCTAATCCGGCAGTGAGCTGCTCCTCAACTGTGCCAGGCTGGTTTACCAAGACCCACTCAAGCAATGTGGAACAGGTCCACAGGGCTACCCGAGAAACACCCGACCACAGCCTCCTCCCCAGGCAGCTCTCACACAAGGCAGAACAGAGACTGCACTTTACCGTTCACTGACGTGCTGTGAGGTTCTGGTCCAATGTCTGCAAGAATGGAGAAAACAGGGAGAGTGGAGACTGCAGAGCCATGGGCCAGACCAAGAAAGTGAAGGGGCTTTGTTCTGACTCTCCGAGCAGATGTTGCAACTTGCCTTCCGCAGAGCAGCCAACCTCGCTGGGAGATCTGTTGTTCTGATCCACCCAGCTGGGGTGACCTTTGAAACCTCTGCCACTGCAAAGACTCTCAGTGAAGTCCTGGGGAGCCAGTGGTGGAGGCTCACAGGTTTTTACTTGTTAGGAGCTACAGATCCCAAACTGAGTGTAGATCAACGGGAAGACCCTGTCAAGCTGAGAGCTGAGCCCTGGATGGGATGGGCAGGGCCCCAGCTCCACATCTTGCTTGGGCTGCCACTCCAACCCCTTGGTGCATCTGGCTTGGGTGCCTCCTGAGAACCATCTCCTTCTTCCGTTAGTTGACCAAGCCCTGTTTATGATCCCTAGAGCAGGAGGTAAGCCAGCCAGCAGATGATTGAGAACTATAGTGCTGGATAGGCAGGAACCCGGCTGAGGGTGCAGCTGGGTGTTCCCAGGGAGCTCAGCACCTCACAGCACTGCTCTGCCCTGACAGCCTGACAGCCAGGCTAGAATCAGTTCTACAATGTGGCAGCAGCCAAAGCTCCTTCCATAGACATAGATGTATTCCCCTAGTTCCTAGGAAATTGGCCACACCTTAAAACAACCGAACATCTATCTGGAATGATGTGGGTTTAAACCCTGTTAGGTCATGTTGAATTGATAAGGGGTTAGAATTCCCCAACACCTAGTGCACCCTTCATCTTCCAGAACAGTGGTTCTTACCTCTGTGGTCTCAAGGCTCCTTTATACAAATAAAAGTTATTAAGGACCCCAAAGAACTTTTGATTGTGAGTTATTGCTATCAAAATTTGAAATTAGTATATTTGAAATTTTAGATGAACTATTAACTCATATGAAAACACCAAGAATAACTCTACATGTTAACTTTATTTGAGATAGGGCTTTACTGTGTTGCCTAAGCCTGTCTCAAATTCCTGGGCTCAAGAGATCCTTCCCGGCAGGCTCATCAATTAAGAGTCCTTCAGGCTCTTCCAAAGGACTTGAGTTCAGTTCCCAGTATGCATATCAGGCAGCTTACAACTGCCTGTAACACTAGTTCCAAGGGATCGCTTGCCCTTTCCTGGCCTCCACAGGTACCTGCAAACATGTGCAATATAGTCACAGAAATACACCCACACATACAAATAAATATAATTTTTTTTAAAAAGAGAGATCTTCCTGTTTCCCAAGTAGTAGGAACTACAGGCACACACCATTGTGACTAGTGACAAATATTTTTAAAAGAAAAATATATTTAAAAAATAGTTTAATAAGGGACTGGAGAGATGGGTCAGCAGTTAAGAGCACTGCCAGCTCTTTATTGAAGAGAACCTGGATTTGGTTCCCAGCACCCATATGGTGGGTAACAACTATCCATAACTCCAGTTCCAGGGGATCCAACACCCTCTTCTGACCTCTGCAGGCATTGCATAACATGGGTGCATTTATACACATGCAGGTAATATTCTCATACACATAAAAATAAAAATATTTTAGAAAATAATTTAATAAGAAGTGTTGTTCACTTTCGGGGTGTGTGTGTGTGTATGTGTGTGTATGTGTGTGTGTGTGTGTGTGTGTGTGTGTGTGTGTGTTTCTGGGGATGGAACTCAGGGCCCCACCAGGCTAGGCAAGTGCTATACCACTAAGATCACCCCCAACCAACCCTACAAATCTCTTCTTTGTAAATTTTATTTATTATAGGGTGGGTTCTGATCTCCATCGGTATAGCGACTCTGATCTCAGCAGACCACCAGAGAGTGCCGAATTCTGGCCTCCCTCTGGCCTCTCTCTGACAGAGGGGCTGATCCTGCCTCCAGGTGATGGTGAGCTTCCCCAATTGTGCCATACCCATCCCCCTATCTGGGATTTCCTGAGGCCCCTCCCAAGGCCCCAGGGCAGAGCTGGCTTTGGTAGGCTAAGGTTGAGATCCTAGCAGGCAGCCTGAGAGGGTGGGTTCTGACCTCCAGCAGTGAAGGGGCTTTGATCTCAGCTGACCTCCAAGTTGTGGCTTCCCTCTGGCCCTCTGGGCCAGAGAGCCCCAGGATTCTGCCTCCATGTGGTGATGAACTTCCCCTAATTGCACCATACCATCTCCCTACCTGGGATTTTGTGAGGCCCTCCCAAGGCCCCAGGGTAGATCTCCTTTTGGTAGGCACAGGCTGAGATTCTAGCAGACAACCTGAGAGTGTGGACTGCCTGAGAGCTCCCAGATCCTGCCTCCATGATGGTGAAGGAAGCCTGAGTGTACCTGACTGGAGCCTGCATTGGGCTTCTATGGGTACTCCTGAATAGCTGATCTGAAGCCATCAGTTCCCTCCAAATGAAACCTGAGAGAACCTGAACCCTGTACAAACCAGCTTTACATAACCAATAAAGAAAGGATCTAGGCACCCAAATAATACAAACAAAAACATACTTCAACTTAATTCTCATATCAGAATCATAAACAACAAAAGAAATTCACATGCCAAAACCACAACGAAAGAATAATTAAATGGATGGAAAGCCTATGTCCCCACCAAACTCCACAAATTCTGTAAAAGAGTTCTACAAGAAGAACCTCCCAGAGATAACCCAGGACACTGAATTTAAAAGAACAATCATAAACATAATCAAGGAATTCAATGAATTTAAAGATCACACGAACAAACAAATCAAAGAGCTAAAAGAAGATAGGGATAAACTTCTGAATGAATTCACAAAAGAGATAGAAGCCAACTTGAAACAACTGGGGAAAGCCTCACTGCTAGAATGAATGAAGTGGAAAACAGAATATCAACACTGGAGGATAAAGTGAAGAATTGGACTGCTCAAGCAAAGACTATGAAAAATTTTTAAAAAACACAGAACTGGAATATGCAGGAGATGTGGGACATGATGAAAAGACCAAATCTATGCATCATAGGCATAGAGGAAAGAGAAGAATTTGAGGTTAATAGTGTTGACCAGATCTTAAAGAGGATTGTAAAGGGAATTTCCCGAAATTAAGGAATGACATCCCCATTTAAATATGGGAAGCACAGAGAACACCAAGAAAAGAAACTCCCTACAACATATCATAGTAAAAACACTAAATGTACAGAACAAAGAGAGAATACTGAAAGCAGCAATAGAAAAACAAGTCACACACAAAGGAAAGCCCATCAGATTTATAGCTGACTTATTAATGCAAACTATGAAAGGCAGAAGAGCCTGGACCAAGGTATTTCCAGATCTACATGACAAGGGATGCCAGCCCAGAATACTTTACCCAGCAAAAATGTCTATTATACTTGAGGGAGAAAGAAAAATCTTCCATGACATGAAAAGCATGAAAGAATACATGTCCACAAAACCAGTCCTTCAAAGAATACTTGTAGCAATACAGAGAGTGGAGAAAGAAACAACTATAACCCAGGGGCAATGAAAGAAAATAAATAAAGGTATAGTGGAGGAAACATAAAGTTAGACAGAGAACACAAACAGCAGTCAAAATGATGGCAACCAATACACATCTTTCAATACTAACCTTAAATATCAATGGACTGAACCCCCAAGTCAAAAGACACAGGCTAAGTGAATGGACAAAGAAAAAAAAAAAAATCCATCTCTTTGCTGTCTGCAAGAAACCCATCTCACCTTCAAGGACAGGCACTGCCTTAAGGTAAAAGGATGGAAAAGAATATTCCAAGCAAATGGCACTAAGAAACAAGCAGGGGTTGCAATTCTAATATCTGACAAAATAGACTTCAAAGTAAAACTAACCAGAAGAGATAAGAAGGGTCATGTCATTCTGATCAAAGAACAGTTAACCAAGAAGATATTACAATCCTTAACATATATGCACCAAACTCTGGGCACCCAAATTCATAAAAACAATACTACAGGGCTTTAAGGCATAGATTAACCCCAACTCAGTAACAGGAGGGGACTTTAATACCCCACTCCATTAGACAGGTCAAAGAATAAACACAGACATCTGAATTAAATGATACCATATATCAAATGGATCTAACAGACATCTTTTGAATATTCCACCCAAGCACCAAAGAATACACTTTCTACTCAGCACCCCATGGAACTTTTTCAAAAACTGACCACATATTGGGCCACAAAACAAACCTCAACAAATACAAAAAAAATGAAATAATCCCATGCATTCTATTGGACCACAATATAAAAAAGCTCAAAATGAACACTGGGTGAAGCCCTAGTCACTACACAAACTCTGGCAATTGAACAGCACAGTGCTAAACAATAAGTGGGTCAAAGGAGAAATTAAGAAAGAAATAAAATAATTCCTGGAATTCAATGAAAAGGACAATATAACACAATATAACCTCTGGGACACTTTAAAAGCAGCCCTAAGAGGGAAGTTTATAGCTCTAAGTGCCTACATTAAAAAATCAGAAAGAACAACGAGCACAAATAAATGACTCAACTCAAGACCCTGGAAAGGCGAGAACAAATGAAACTCAAACCCAGCAGGAGAGAAGAAATAACAAAAACCAGAGCAGAAATAATGAAATAGAAACAAAGAAAACAATACAAAGAATCAATGAATCTAAGAGCTGGTTTTTTGAAAAGCTAAACATGATAGAGAGACCCTTAGCCCAGTTAACCAAAAGAAAGAAAGAGCAAATTCAAATCAACAAAATCAGAGATGAAAGGGGAAACATCACAACAGACACCCAAAAGATCCAGACCATTATAACGAAATTTTTTTTTTTTTTTTTGGTCTTTTTGAGACAGGGTCTCTCTGTAGCCCCAGCTGGCCTGGAACTTGCTTTGTAGACCAGGCTGGCCTTGAACTCACAGAGATCTGCTTGCCTCTACCTCCCAAGTGCTGGGATTAAAGGCATGCACCACCATGCCCGGCAATATATAACAAGATATTTTAAGAACCTATATCCTACCAAATTTAAAAATCTAAAAGAAATGGATTGATATCTATAATCATGGGAACTACCAAAGTTA